CAAGAAAGTTCTTTTAAAGATATTACATATAATTAGTAGTATGTTTTGGCCGTATGTAGCCCTGTTATCACAGGATCGTGATAACAGGGCGCGATAACAGGGCGTGATAGCAGGGCGTGATAACAGGGCGTGATAGCAAGGCGTGATAACAGGGCGTGATAGCAGGGCGCGATAACAGGGTCGTGATAGCAAGGCGTGATAGCAGGGCGTGATAACAGGGCGCGATAACAGGGTCGTGATAGCAGGGCGTGATAGCAGGGCGTGATAACAGGGCGTGATAACAGGGCGTGATAGCAGGGCGCGATAACAGGGTCGTGATAGCAGGGCGTGATAGCAGGGCATGATAACAGGGCGTGATAGCAAGGCGTGATAACAGAGTCGTGATAACCGGATTCGATACGGCCATATCACGATTCTGTTATCACAATCCTGTTTTCACTATATAGATATATATATATATATATATATATATATATATATATATATATATATATATATTTGTTGTACGAATATGTAAATTTGTATTCATCTGGCTATATGTTGAATAAATAACTCATACTTTCATCGGTTTGTAATTTATTCCGCGGCACTGTGCACGCATGACCAAACCTCCTGGGCCCTATTCTGAACGCCATACGAACGGTTCGTATACGGTTGAGTCCGTATACGAACATTTACCATACGGATAAAAAATTCGTCGTTAGAACATGATATACGGACCGTCCGGACGGTTCGTATGTACGGTCAGCTTTATTCTCCGTGTACTTTTTATGCACATTAGTCATTACATCAGTGGCGTAATTTGGTCTTGGTTTTTTTTTTGGGGGGGGGGGATAAAATAAAAATTGCATACATTTTACTCATCACCCCTTCCCTCCCCCAATTTTTTTTTTGTATGTATCATAAGAACTGCTTAATACAACCATTGTGATATGTAAAACGTCATGGGGGGGGGGGGGTGATAAGACACTCAAATCTCCCCCCGTAATTACGCCTCTGCATTACATCTACAGAATAATCTATATTGTATTTAAAAAGAAAAGTGATAACAGCCAACAATATGTTTACTTCCATTTAAATAAAAAATATATTTTATGTTATATTGTTCTAAAATATAAACAGAAAAAAAAATGTTTATATATAGTTCAAATACGAATGTATTATGCATTAGTCATGATAACAACAAATTATTTAAATTACGTACACAATTGTATTACATTAAAAAGGTGTATTTTATAAGATACAACGTCAAATTATGGTTAAATTTCGTTTTTATAGAGGTTAAATTATTAATGATCTATTTTTCAAGACTTCACTATTAATTTGTCCTATGTAGGAATTATTTGCTATTTAGAAATATGCATCCACATATTATAATAGTTTTATCAAATAGCTAAACAATTAGGTATTAATATATTAAAATAAGAAAGCAATGTTGTATTTTATTACAGCAGATTATAAACATGAACGACTAAATTGTGTTTAAAAATCGAATTAAAAAATGTGTTCTAACACCGTTAGCTTAAAAAACTAATTACAACCATAAAATAATAACAGTGCACTAATTATTTATCTTACAAAAGTGACATGGCCTTGTAATAGCTAACAATAGCTTGCATACAATTTAATGCAAAAATACCAATATTTACGTCGTACAATAAATATCAAATAACACTAATATCAAAGTCAAAGCATATAATTCTATACCGAAAACTAACATAATTGTGTAAAAACCGGTATGTTTTATTGGAGTGCCATGCAATGGTAATATGATAATAATGGGTATTTCGATAAGCTGATAATCGCAAATCTCAATTGTACAATTTATTTTTACGAGAAAGAATATTTCAATTGAGTAGTGTAAGAAAAGTTAAAACGGTGAGCTTTGTACACGACACGCAGCACGCCTTGTACCATATTTAAAAATGGCAGATTTAAAAAAAAGGAGGTCCGCACCAGTCAATGCAGAACAAAAAAAGTGCTTGACAGACTTTATGGTTCTGCATCCCGACCTTGTGAAGGGAAAACATACAGCAAGCTTCACGCAAGGAAAGTCCATAGCTCTATGGATGGAAATAACGGAGCAGTTGAACGGTATGGAAGGTTCAAAAAAAGACTGGAAAGCTTGGCGACGTGTAAGTGTATTTTTTATATATTATATCCTATATCTCATATCAAGAAAATATTTAAAAAATAATTAACACGTGACCAAATCAATCATCATAAATAATAGTGTATTGAAGTTATATTATAGACGTTTAGAATTACTCATTATTATTATTTTTAATATCCTTATACATAAGCCCGAAATGAGGACTTTAAAAAATATGTTTTTAATTTTCTAATGTAATTAGAATAGAGGGACCACTGAGCTGCACTAGTATAATATTACTAATGTTCAATAAAGGCTGTTTGTAAAGAATAGTATAAATAAGATAACTTATATACTTTATATACCGTTATATAATTAATAAAATATAAATAATGTTTTTAGACTTGGCATGATATAAAGGCAGATGCCAAAAAAAAAAAAAGCAAAAATGAATTCCGAATTACGGAAAACTGGGGGCGGCATAGGAAATGCTATGCCACTAAATGCCGTCGATGAAGCGGTAGTGGGCATTATAGGGGATATTCCGGTTAGTGGAGACCCGCATATTGCCCAGTCACGGTGCACATTCAACCCACCGACTGACGGGTAAGTTTATTGTCGAATGACAATGAAAAAATTGTTTTATATAATTAAATAAATAGAACAATTAAAAACAGTGGTTAAAATTATTATAAATTGTATAGTTGGATACCATTGATGCCATCCACATCGTATGCGGCTGAAGAACAGCATTACGAGAGCAATGTTTTAACGTAAGTCTGGTATTGTTAAATTGCTGAATGTGTTTATTTAAAACTATTTTGAATAATATATAATACTTTTTATACATTTTGGTAGGGACTTGGATCAAACGGTTCAATCATTGAATGAGGGAAGCGTAAATAAGAACAGTAATACTACTCATAATGATTTGCCATAAACCGTTAAACCAAATAAATCGTACGTATCTTTTTTAAATAACCTAAGTATTTTTAAATAATCGCCATTAATAATAATAAGTAATGCTCTCCCACCTCTAAGTCCGCCTATGTATATAGTTTGAACAACTAACAGAGGAAGAAGTGAGAGGGGGAATCGATTCGGTTATGGGGGAGGGGGGGCAATCGTATGCCAATGGAAGTAGTAACCACAAGTTTATTAAATATGTTGCAAAATCAAAAGCAAATATAAAAAACCGACTTTTTAGCAGTTTTTTATGATTTTGAGAAATTTTGTACTTTTTCAAAACTCTGTATCTCAGTACCTATGCGGTCAAAAAAAAAGTTTTATATAAAAAAATTGTAGAAAATTTAGTCTTCTACAATTTACTAATAATTCAATGTTATCAGCTAAATTAACTGTTTTCGAAATATATTGAAAAAACCAAAAAAAGTGCAAACATTTTGGGGTTTTCCCCCGCCCCAAAATTCTACAAGGTTTTTTTGTTGGATAAACTGGGTGAAGCACTACTGGAAACCCATACACAACTTCCCAAAGTTTCATTAAAGTCGGAATTTTTCGAAGCTACCCCCGCGATTTGATCCTCTGACGACTGGACTATAATAGTAGGTAATAATCTTAAATATTGTTATTACTATTATTTTTGTTGTTATATGACGTATAGTTATGTTAATTAACTACAGATTATAAATAGAAAATTATATATTGATCACTTGGCAGTAGTTATCGAAAAATTATTTAAATTATTTAGTCGTATTTTTTGGAGCATCGATATAGGTACAGTAACAATATTGTGTTGCTTGATAAAAACAGCGTTTTTTTTTATTCATACATAATTTTTAATTTCTCTGAACCTTTTAATATGAAATTATGTATTAAATTATAGTAAAATTAGCATGTATTCACGTAAACAAATATTTCGTATTCGCTATAATTTTTACTAATTATTAAATTTATGTATATTGTGCACATATATACTATTTTATAAAAAATCAGAATAATTTTATCTAATGTATGCTTTAAAAACTACATTAAGATAATATATAGATTATAGAGTTGTCAGTAATAATATAACGTCTTTATAGCCTATACTTATATAAAAAAAATTTTTAGGAGACCTAAGACTTCCAAACGAGCTTGCGTCGAAAAAGCTGCGGATGCGACACGGAACCTTGGAGCAATAAGTGAGGCTCGAAATGAAATACTGAACCAATATTATAAGAAGAAAATGGAACACATGGACACAATTATAGCTCTCGAAGAGGAAAAAATTAGATTAAAACGGCAAAGTGTTGCAGCCAAAATAAAAATTGCAAAAGCAATTATGAAACTGGCTAAGATGTCTGATGACAGTGAGTCGGAATGACGTTATTTATTTATTTATTTATTTATTATTATAGCTTTTGAATTGTTTAAATTATTATGAGTGAGTAATGTTTTTTTGTTTTTTGTTGATGCTTTTGAATTGTTTAAATTATTATGAGTGAGTAATGTTTTTTTGTTTTTTGTTGATGTTTATTTTTTGTTATTTATTATTTCATACACTTCGTTAATTATTTTGGTTACATCCATAAAGAATAAAAATACGCAATTGTAAAAACAATACCTTCTCAGCGATGCCACAAAGTGTGTAAATATTTAAAATAGTTTTAATAAGTTAATATTAATTATTAACAACATGCGTCGTACTAATAACTATTTTTATACGTATTTTACGTATATTAAGGTTTATAAATATTATATGATAAGTGATTTAGTTATTTAATAGAAACAAGAAATAATCCATTACAATTTTAGTTAAATTTATTATACTTCAAAACAAAATATTTCCACAGATAAACAATAGATATAGATGAAAACTATTAGTTCTACATTTAAACATAATATAATATAATATAAATATATATCATTTCAATGTAGTTTCATGTTAATTTGTTTATGTAAGAATTTACAATGTATAGAATGTTGCTACTATATCTTGTCTTATTCGACGACCTACCAAAAGTTCATTATTACGATTTTCGTGATTTGGCCGATTTTCATTTATAATAACCATTGGTGGAATAATTCCAAAATCTACATCTTCAACTTCGAGTGGTTCATTTACTACTAATGGTACATTGTCATTGATGCACAAATTATGCAGCATTATACAACTTTTTATAATTTTAGATGCTTTACTCGGTGAATAATGTAGTACTCGGTGTTTGAGGAGACATCTGTCATACATTTAATCATTAATTATATAAGTAAATTATATTATATGCAAGCCCAACAGCCATAATAACAATATATAAATAGTTTACCGAAAACGCATCTTCAAAACTCCATTGCATCTCTCAATGGTAGATCTAACACGACAAAACGTCTCGTTGTATGCAGCTTCCGGGGACCCGATAAGTGGGTTTAAAAATGGTGTCATCAACCACGGTCGGAGTGCATAACCTGAATCATAACCTTAAAAAATGAATTTAATTTTTGTATGAACTATTTAGTTTTACTTGCTTTATTATTTGATTTTTATTTTATAAACAATTCAATTTATTTTACAAATTCGTCCAAATAAATAACACACCATATAACATGTATGACGTTCCATTTTGATGTAAATATTCCATGAGCTCCTTAACATTGCTTTGATTCCAAATATGGGAATCATGAACCGAACCGGGATACTGAGTACACTCACTTAAAATCCGTAAATTGACGTCGCAAATCTAATTTACAATTACAACTTTATAGTTCAAATATTCGAGATTGTAACACAAAGAAAATGGTTAATATAATATTATTGCTAGTAATTTACGAGTTGCGTATTTATGGAGTGATAATTTTTCCTGTTCACATAAATATGCTCAGGATAAATGGGGTCATTGACTGATGGTGGAAAGATGGCGACGTGTGTACAATCAATCACACCAACCACGTTGGTGACACCATATTTATCATAAAACCTAAATTGATAATTAACTATTAAATTATCTATTAAATTTAGTATATTAATCGATTGTATTTGAGGTGTATGTATTACCCGCGATGTACATCATTTAACTTGTTAACATTTTGTGGAAAATATACATGTTGGTCATACAATTGTGGAGTACATAAAGCATTGGAAACTTCCTTAATACACCGACTAACGCAAGGCTGGCTTAATGAAGCATATCGGTTCACCCCAATGTCCATTTGGTAGCTACCAGACGCAAAAAATCTGAGAGCTGTTAACACCTAGTTACACATCAACAAGAAAATTAGTTTCATAATTACCTCATTGCTTTGTCAAAGTGCAAACAAATACAAATAATTCCAAAATATTGTCAAATATGTTTTAAATGATTCTTTAAATATGTTATTGTAATCTGTTGTTACAAAATGTAATGTTTTCAAAATGTTGTTTACAAAGTGTTGACTGTTGAATAAACTTTTTGACAATATAATTTTTTTTGCAATGTAGGATAATAATAACTTAATCTATAGTAGCTAACTTTACGTTGGATTGATATACCGCGTGAAGTAGAGGGTACAACCATAAAAGGAGTGACCATTTCGATTACTCTCCTTGCCAAATTTTTCGGCAATCGATATATTTGAATAAATTTCTTGTCAGACAAGTCTAAAATTTAAAAAATTAAATTTATCTAGTACAATTATTATGTATTTTTAATTTGAATAATTTATTTTTATAATAATGACAAATACAATTTCTAGGAAAATCTCTTTACGCTAGGATGTAACAAGTATATAATTATTTATTTAATTTAATGTACAATAAAAACGTTTGTATTGGGAGTAGGAGTAAGAGTGTCCTTCATAAAAGAAAATGGGTGACATACATATATGGCTACCATTTAGCTATGTTTAAATGAATCACTGAATATTTCATTTAAAATTTGCCTTCATAAACAATAAGTTTTGCTATATAATTTAAAAAATATAGTTCGATGATACAATGTAATAATGAATAATGTTCGAATATTTATTTAAATATTCAAAAGAACAAATTATTTATTAGCAACAAATACTTATACAAAAGTATTCTATAAAAATAATAAATATATTAATTTAATATTAAGTATTTTCAATTTTTTTACCTTCAAGTGGGTCTATAAAATTATAAGTTCGAGGGCGTTCCCGGAATTCATCTTCTTCGATTAATTCTAACAAATTAATTGCTGCTTCATTTTCGTTAATTTCCAAATCGTCATCCATTATTTAAATTTAAAAAAATATTCAAAACGAATAACAATTTATAAATAATCGTAAGTGTTTACAAAGGTAATACACGCGACTGATATATACACACTGCACTTATGATATAAATTGCATTCCTTTTATTATAAGATAACGCAATTGAAGTCAGTACGGTGAGGTATACAATACGGCTTTACGGAAACCGGTTCACATGGTGTTAATCATCATTTCGAGATCCCTATAAAATCGTTCTAGTATGAGGACTGACAGCTGACCACCATTCTCTACCTAGGTTGCAAAGTGTAATTCGGACGCCGACATAGCGCAGCGACTATAAGGTGTAGTTAAACACTTCCGATAGGTACGACGCGCCACCGACAACCTACCGTTTCGAGCGTAACCCCCGTCTGCCCTCGTACCTCCTAGTAGTTAACTTCGACATTTTGCTGACTTAACTTCTAATAACTTCCCTACAACTAGCCCCGCTAGTTCGATCAATCAGGATCCTACACGCGAATTGTAAAATAACTTGTACATAAATATTAACTTCGTGTTTGCATATTATCTATTGCGTGGTCGCAAATACTACTATGAATATTATAAAAAATAAATTATTTTTAAAAATGTGCGTATTACCATATTGCTTTCTTATTTTTTGATGCATTTCTAGTTCTTATTTAAGACATTTTGAGGCCTTCAGTGTTATAACGAACTAAGCTACAAATATTATTTTTAATTAATATAATTATTAATTTATTAATTTATATTTATATTAACAACTATACTAACCCCAAAAATATTAATATTTATATTAATTAACGATTAAGATTATATTTGTGACCTTAATTAAACGTCAATAAAAATTACAATTAATGATTTCCTAATATCTCCCATTTAAATTAAATATTGTTTTACTTAAAATGTTCCTAAATAAACCTAAGTTATTGCTAAAATAATAAAAATGCGGTTATTATTTTAAATAGGACATAAAACCATACATTTTTAAATAGTGCATTTACTTAAATTATTATTATTCAAAATATTATTAATTTTTATTGTTATTAATAATAATAATAGTTATTAAAAATATTATTCATATTTCAATACTTCTCATATAAAATAATGTAATTGATGGTAGTATGGTAAGGCATACGATAAGACTATACGGAACCCGGTTCACATGGCTATGACCATCCGTTGGAGATCCGTATAGAATTGTTCTAATATGAGGAGTTTAGTATCATAACGCGTCGTTAGAACTATCGATTCGTATACGAAACAATTCGTATACGGAACATATTTTTTTTAGGTATACGATCGTCTTAGGGTATACGGACATAAAATATTTTTACATGTAATATTATATACCATTTTTTCCACCGTACATACGAACCGTCCGTATATTGTGTTCTAACGGCGATTTTTTTTTCCGTATGGTAAATGTTCGTATACGAAAGAGTTCGTATACGAACCGTTCGTATGGCGTTCAGAATAGGGCCCAGGGCTTTTAACAGGCAATTGCCTCGAATGACTTAACAACAAAACAACAATGTCCATATAACAACAATAGTAGTATAATAATTTATTACAGATCAGGAACGTGCTTATAAAATATAAGGGGGGGGGAGGTCACAATGCGTCAGCAAAACATCTCGAGTTTGACCCAACGTGGCAACAAAGCTTTGACGACCGGATCACGTTTCCATGCACAGCCCACAACAGGCGGCGAGCAACAGACACAAGTAATATTAATAACATGATAAAGAATTTATTACATACATTTCAAACAATATTAAATAGTTAAATACAATTAATCGGTTTGATCTGAACGACCGATACGGAACCGATATGTGTGATATATTAGAGATTATTAAAAGGGAGCGTGTCCCCACGCTCCCTTTTGCCCGCCAAATAATTCTTAACATATCACACCTTATTGGTTCCGTATCGGTCGTTCAGATCGAACCGATTAACACGTTGACGGACATTCACTGCTATAGCAGTCATAATCTTTTAAGTTGTGATTCGTTGATGACTGCTATAACAGTTATATTTTCGGAAGTCGTAAAATGGAATAACTGCTATTGCAGTGACTGTTGTTATGGCTTCACCGTGTCGGGAATTATGCAGTGTCCAATTGTGACTTAACAAAAGGTCGGGCAAATGTTTATCAAATTTTCTAAAAATAGTTTTTATTAATATTATTTTGTATGGCCTCTTGTGGATTAACAATCTTATTTGTTTAAAATGTTTACTCATTTGTTGTTAATTATAATTTATTTCATTGATTATGTGTCATGAAATAAATGAAAACCCATCATCATAGGTAATTTATTTATGTAACTGCTATAGCAGTCATATATAGCAGTCACACGACCATATAAAAAGAAAAAAAGTTTTCGAGGGACTCGAACTGCTATAGCAGTGATATATTTTTATGTTAACAATGTATTTAGATCCAACAATTAAAGAAAAACTGTAGTGCCGAATTGATTTTCTGTTTAATATGTTACGGATACATATGAGTAGAGGGATGAGAAACGGGTATAATTTGAATTTGATACAATTGGCGTGTGCGGGGACATATCAAATAAATATTCTTTATAAATATCAACTCGATCCGACTATTTTTCTTGAATTTACAGCCAGTAAAAGTTCTAAATTAAAAACTTTTTTTTGTTTTATCAAATTTTAAGTGTTAAGAAGTAAACTTTTTCAACATTTACCCCTCTCCTCCCAAGATGAAATTTGTGATTTATAGAGTTGCTACTCGAAGGAATTGGTCCAGTTATAAAAAAGTTACAGTGTATAAACTTTTACCTAAACTTTTTAGATGATGTAATTGTAAAAAAATTGAGTTTCTAGAAATATCAAAACAATTTAATGCTAGAACTTGACATTCAAATGTAAAAGTTTGTAAATCCAATAAAAATTCTCTTACTTGTTGCTTATACAACTCTTAACAGTTCTAGAATAAACCATGGTGTTTGTAACGCAAAAAAGTACAACTTTGTTTAACATTTTTATTAAAAATATTCACTAGAACAAAAGTTATTTCAATCGTCATATCTTTGTGCATCAGCAACACCCTGTATATATAAAATCACCGACAATGATGTGCTTTAGGATAATTATATTATAATATATAATTATAATATTATCTAATAATTAGGAAAGGTGGAGTGTAGTATTTACAGTTTTATCTGCGCGCACTTTCCTTTCCAACCTACTGTTTGAACTCTTATAACATTAAAAATAGTAGTTCAAAACTGGTTATCAACTACTCAACATTTTTAGTACATTATCCTCGTTTTAAAAGGTTAATGAAATGTATGGGTTACCATTTAAGTTTCAAAAGCTTGAAATCAAAAATAAATTAAGATAAAATACATAAAAAGGAATTTCGCAGCCAAATCCAACACGATATGGTATTTTTAAAAAAATAAATTCAATTTTAATACGAATTTTCAAAACATATTTTTTCTCGTAGCTTACATGCATAGCTCGTGTAGGTACAAAAACACCAAAGGTTGTAATGTACAATACGTAGGTTATTGTAAATATTGTTAACTTTTATATTATTATAAACCACAACAGCGTTACAAGTAAAGGATGATTTTGTAGATAATATCTATATTATATTACTATTGAAATGTATACTTGCTAAATGATTTGTTCTTATGATATAAACATTTTTTACCATTCGGAAAACCCCAAAAAATTCGATAATGGTTGGATTGAGCAGAAATTTATGAGCATAGGAAATTCGTTTATATAAGAGACATTTTTAATTGGAATGCAATGGATTGCCAATAGGCATAGTATATCAATCAAAATTCTTTTCATTTTTAAATTAATATCTAGATAAACAATGTATGACATAACAATGTATTTTGAAATTATTATTTTGATGATTGTTCTATCCTATAAAAAATGTTCTACTATTAACACCCAATAAAATATATGTTATTATGGTAAAACTTGTTTTTTATCAAAATAATTCTCCGGCATAAAAATATGTTTTACTTTACTTAACGCCAAAGTGTTTGTTTACAAAATAGCAAAAGCGTTCTACAGCAAACTAAAATTCTTAAAAACATACTATTGTGTGATAAAATATTATTTACATTATTAGCTTATTATTCTTCAAGAATGCACTATAAATACAACTTACAAATCGATAAGAAAATCACTTTTATACTTTTTAACTGAAATTTAAACACCTATTTTAAAGTATAAAAAATTAAAAAAAAAACAGAATATGAATATAAAATACATATAATACAATATAAAATTTCTTGGTTCAAACTGTTGCGTTCAGAATTACTGCAGCCGATGAGGTAAGAATCATGCAAACGGTTATCGTCTTGTAAATTTTATTTTATTTTTTTTTAAATTAAAATTATGTCTTATACATTTTCTATTACATTTTTTATTTAGTTCCCCTTGTATGTACATTTTTTCAATTTTACCTAGAATTTGGTGGCAAGTTTTGTTATTGCAATCATTCAAATAATATGTTATCTAAATAATCATTTAGATAACAAATAAATAAAAAACATATTAAAAGTTATTCAAAAAGTTTATATTATATTTACAACATTTATTGCGCATAAATTTACTTATCTTTAAAGACTATGTGTTATATCCAGCTATAATTTTTAATGATGCGTTTCAATGCTTTTCAGGTTAGAGACAATATTGCTATACAGAATTTTGTTACACGTAGTAACCGAAATACTAGACAGGACATTGAACTTACTACGACTCAATTATTACAATTATTGCATCTTCTGGGCGACAAATATAAAAATGATGTGGGTTATTACATAGGATTTAATCATGTGCCAGATGACCACTTAGGTAACCTTTTGATTTACTACATTTATCATGTAATAAAAGCTTTCTCTAGAATTGATGCAAAGCTTTGAGGCAGGAGGTTCCCTCCTTCCCGTGCTCTCCACTCTGCGTTCTTATCGTATTCCGACAGTATGGGGCCTAACCAATTTCAATGTTGA